GGAGGAAAATTCTGTCTCTAAGAAAAAATATCTTCCCTCTTATCAAGTTTAAGATTGGTAATGGGGAGAAGGTGTTTCTGTGGTTTGATAATTGGCATCCTTTGGGTTCTTTATGGGATAGGTTTGGGCATAGGATTTTGTATGACACGGGTCTTCCTTTCAATTCCAAAGTTAGTGCTGTCATATCTAATAATGATTGGAAGTGGCCTATCGATAACTCTTGGGAGATCAAGGAGTGGATTTCTTCTACTCCTCTTGCTCTTAAACCTAGTAGGGATAGCCAGGATTGTCCTGTCTGGAACCTGACTGTGGATGGGAAGTTTACTATACAATCTGCTTGGGATTGTTGGAGGGATAAGGGTACTAAAGTGCCTTGGGCTAATCTTGTTTGGGGGCCTCCTTCCATTCCTAGGGTCAGTTTTGTGGTCTGGATGGCTATTCATGAGAGATTAAACACGGGGGAAAGGCTGCATCTATCCGGCCTTGTTCCTAATCCTACTTGCCCCCTTTGCCATGGTCCTGAGGAGAATCACTCTCATTTGTCTTTCAGGTGTGTGTATTCCTCTAGGATCTGGGGAGCCATTCAGGTCAAGTGTAACAATAGCTGGCCCCAATTATCCTGGCTGGAGTATATGGTCTATGCTACACCAAAGGTAAAACTTTGAAGTCTGCTCTTATGAAACTCTCCTTTCTTTGCACTGTCTACCAGATTTGGATAGAAAGGAATAGGAGGATTTTTAGCAAGGAGTTTAAACCTGATAAAATTGTGACTAATCTTATTGTCCAGATGGTTAGAGGTAGGATGCTTTCTATGTATAATCTGGCTAACTCTGCAGGTGATGCATGGTATTTGTCACAATGGAATTTACCTACAGCAATTATGAAGCAGCCCCAGGACAATAATGCTGGGAGCAGATTGAGTGGGGATAGTGTACCTATATTGAGGGTTGAGTGAGGGTGAGCAAATATTGTGGGTTTTCTAATTGGTTTCTCTTTTGCAGACTTATATCATGGATGTTTGTTCCAACTTGATGATGTCTTTCTACTCTCTAGCATGTTCGGATAATGTCATATGTGGGCCGAGTGAAGTGAGCCAAAATAATTTAATCCTACATTGTGGGTTGAGGGATGTGAGGTTGCTCACAACTATATTTCTAACTGTTATTATATATTATAATTTTTATGTACAGGTTAAGGAAGCTCCTTTATACAGCAAAATAGTTGAGATCATGAGTGAGTTGGAGAGATGTGGGCCTAGTGAAGTGAGGTCGAGTGATGGGAGGTGTCATATACTAAGAATAATTTTCCTTCTTCTCTATGATGTCTCATGTAATATTGGCACTTACTATCTACTTCTCTATGGGCAGGTTAAGCAGAAACCTATATGGTGGGATTGTAACTGGCAGTTTCTTTCGGATTGTTATTGGGATTGTCATTGGGCTATGGCTGCAAGGTACCGATTGCTTGCAGTGTACAGGTTCTTGAACTCCTTGTTGGATGATGTAGAGGTGGCTGTAATTTGTGCCCATCTTGACAGTTGCATGCTGTTGGGGAATGCTCTTGGGCGATGGCAGCAATCTGTGCCTGGTTACGACTTTACTGTTGACTGGTGGTGTGGAGGTGGCTGCAACCAGCGCCCCTCTTTGAAGTTGTATTTTCTGTGGAGATGCTCTTTGAGATGGCAGCAAGTTGCGCCTTGCCTAGGCATTTCAGTAGGTTCATAAGTTGTTTTCGATTCTGGTTGTATATATACCCGTATGGTGTGTTTGTAATTATTGTATATCATAAGTCTGTCCCCTCTTTGGGCTGTTTTTGTTTATTAGTTCTGGACGTGTTTGAGACTAAGAACTGGGCTGGTTTTTTTTGGTATTTCATGCTGGACTTTGTATTATTCCAGTTCGGTGCTACCTTTGGGCTGGTGTAGTATTTGTGCAAGACCCCTATCTGATGTGGGACGTGGTTCTTGAACAAGTATTATGTACTGCTAAGTTGTTATGGCTGCATGAGCTCCCGCTTTATTGTTGATGGCTGGCTTTTTTGTTTGGTGGTAGTAGTCTCTTTAGTCTTTTAAGTTTGGTCATTATCATTGTAATTTGTGGTAGGGCCTGGGGTATGCTCCATGTATTCGTGCAAATTTTTCTGTTTTATTTATTTCTTATTCACCCAAAAAAAAAATTGTAACTTAATTTATTCACCCAGAAATTGTAACTTAACAACCGTTAGTTTAACTTGAACACCTCATTTAAGGTTTTCGAAATCTCCTAAGTGTTCAATTCTCATGTCCAAAAGGTTTAATTTGAATTCCGCTTGATTTTCTTCCTATTTTTGTTTTTTTTCTCTAGTTTTTTTTTTTTTTGGGGTGAATAAGACATAAATAAAGACAAGAAAATATACAAGATTACAAGGGGAATGCCCCAGGCCCTACAACAACTATACAGAAAAGAACCGAACCCAAACCAAAGCAGCTAAAACAAAAGAGAAGCAGAACTCAAGCACAATGTTCATAAGCCATATCCAAAGAGATAGGGGAAATGAACACTGTGAAAACAACCCAAAATAATGAAACTAGAAAGCAAAAGAAGCGGTCCAGAATAAGCAGAACAACACTGCTGAAAAGGACCAAAGACCAAATAAAGAGCATCTAAAATGCAGCAAAAGGTTTCCAGGCGCAAGCCACAAAACCAAATCCAAACCAAACATGCAGTTAAAAGGATGTAACACAACACTGTGCTAACAAAACATAGCAAAATACTACCCCTAGCACATCCCACTAGGGTGGGCAAAAACTGTGTAGCATATGACACCAGACATAGACAAATTAATAACATAAAATAGCTGATATTCAATCTAAACCTCCAGAAGGCGCTAACAGTAGCCATTCCTTAACCCAGATTTCCATCGAGTTCCAGTCTGACTCATCTAAGAGGCGCATTCAGCAGCCAATCCCTTGAACCAACATTCACCGAGATCCTTGTCAATCTGTAGTCCCCTACTAGACAATATAGAAGGTCCTGTCAGCATAGGTTGGAAGATTGAATTCATTAGCAATGATATACAGATTACAAAGTAACCAATACACACAAAGATATTGAACTCACATCACTCAACCCACATTAAACTCGCAACACTCTGTAACATCTAACAAGAGATAATTACAACACACTATATTTAGGCTCACATCACTCAACCCACACATACAGCTGCAGCACACTATAACCATCCTTAGCTTGCATATAAAAATTACAATATATATAATCATTAGTAAAAAACATTTGTGAGGACTGATTCACTCAACCCACATTCATTTCAGGTAAATTTAGACCTTACATCACTCAACCCTCAATGAATCACAATCCATACATGCTGCTGCACAAAGAATAAACAATTAGAAACACTCATTTTACTTTCAGACACTCAACCCTCATTTAGTGAACTCGCATCTCTCAGCAGCCCTCCCATTCTGAGTATATGGGGCTTCAAAACAGTAGCAGGTAAATTCCACTGGGCAATGTACCAGTCATCACCTGCATTTCTAGGCAGATTTGTTATAGACAGCAGTCTACCCCTTATCATCTGAAAAATAGATTTAACAATCACTTCCTCAGGCTTGAGTTCCTGATTGAAAATCCTATTATTTCTCTCAATCCAGATCATGTAAACAGAGCATGACAAGGACAATTTGATGATAATCGATCTCAATGACCTCCTCTTTGTTTCTTTGGTAGCAAAAGGAATAGTATGTGGCCACTGAAAATCAAGCCAATTCACATTGCATTTGACTTTAATTTCATTCCAGATTTTAGCAGTGAATATACAGTCAAAGAAGAGATGAGAATGATTCTCATTTAAATGTTGGCAAAAAGGACACATGGAATTAGGAGCAAGGCCAAATAGCTGAAGCCTATCACCAGTATTTAATCTCTCATGAATGGCCATCCAAACAATAAAACTGACCCTAGGTATCAAATTGGGCCCCCAAATAAGCTTATGCCAATCCACCGTATCAAACTTACTCCTCCAGTGATTCCAAGCAGACTGAATGGTAAACTTACCATCAGAATTGAGATGCAAAGTAGGTTGATCACGCATGGAGGAGTTAGGTCTACAACTGGTAGGGGTTAATGAAATCAGCTCCCTAATTTCCCAAGAAGTAGGAACAGGCCACTTCCAAGAATTTCCCTCCACAATCTGACTCACTTTAGTCTCACAATTAAGACAGGAGTGATAAAGAATTCTGTCCCCAAATTTGTTCCATAAAGGACCAAGGGGATGCCAATTGTCATACCATAAAAAAAGTAGAGTCACCCCTTCCTATTTTATGGATGATAAGAGGAGATACAAGATCCGTCAAAGCCAGGATCTTCCTCCAGACCCAAGAAGAGTCATTTGGGACCCTCACTTTCCAAAAGCTCTTGCCTTTGAGTAGATAGGATTTAACCCATTGGCACCACATAGACATTTCTCCTCCAGAGAAGTGGAACCAGATATGCTTGGTAATGGCAGCCTTATTCCAAATCTCAAGAGATTTGAAGCCAAGGCCACCTTCATTTTTGGGCACACAAATTCTATCCCAAGCAATTTTGGCACTATGTTTCTTGAGAGCAGTACCAGACCTAAAGAAAGCTCTAAGTATACTGTCAATCTCTCTGATGACCTTTTTGGGAAGGATAAACATAGAAGACCAATAAACTTGCATGGAGAAAAGAATGATCTGAATAAGTTGGCCTCTCCCAGCATAGGAAAGGGCTTTGTTGGTCCAACTTTTAATCCTATTAGTAATCCTCTCCGTAAGTTGTTGACAGTCAGAGGCCCTAAGCTTGGTAGTAATCAAAGGGACACCAAGGTACCTAACTGGGAGAATACCTTCAGTGAACTTAGCAATCCTAAGGATTCCCTCTCTTAAATCCTTATCACACCCAGAGAAATAGATATTGCTCTTACTAAAACTAGGGGTGAGACCAGACAAAGAAGAGAATTCATCCAGACCTTGCATTATTAAGTTAACAGTAGGAACATCCATCATCAGCAAAGCAGAGATTCACAATCTTAGCTTTCTCACACCTCCAATGAAACTTGAAGAGGGGATGATTGGATTTCTCATCAAAAATTCTAGCAAGAATCTCCATAGCCAATACAAGCAAATAAGGAGACATGGGATCTCCCTGTCTAAGACCTCTAGCACCCTTGAAGTAACTATGTAGGCTCCCATTAATACACACAGAAAATGAAGGGCTAGTAATACAGGCCTTAATCCAAGAGGTCATGATGGGAGGAAAATCCATAGCTTTAAGAATATCAATAATGAACTCCCATCTCACACTATCATAAGCTTTCATAATGTCCACCTTCATTGCACACCTGGGAGTGGGTGAACTCTTATGATACCCTCTCATAAGCTCTTGAGACAAGAAAATATTATCAGAGATCCTCCTACCTTGAACAAAAGCAGATTGCACAGGATCAATGAGGTCAGGAAGGACCACTTTTACCCTATTAGCAATGATTTTCGCTATACACTTATAAATAGTGTTACAGCAGGAGATGGGTCTATAATCCTCAACCCTCACAGGATTAGGAACTTTAGGAATAAGGGCTATTATGGTGCTATTAACTTTAGAGAGAAGTTTACCAGGCTCAAAGAAGGTTCTGATAGCTTGGGTAACCTCTTTCCCAACAATGGACCAAGATTTTTTGAAGAAACCAGCCGAATACCCATCAAGGCCAGGGGCCTTGTTGGGTTTAAGGGACCAAAATACATCCTTAATCTCCAAGTCAGTCACAGGCCTAGCAAGAAGCAATGCTTGATCAGTGGAAACCTTAGACTTAACAAGGGAATTGATCCTATCAAAACCACCATAGTGGTCATTAATAGGAGTCCCAAATAAGTCAGAGTAGAATGTTATAAAAGCACTTTGAATATCCTCTAACTTATTAGAACAACGCCCATCCTGCAATTCAATTTTGAGAATTTTGCCCCTATTAATGTTACCCTTAATAGATTTAAAGAAAAATTTACTGTTACTATCCCCCAATTTCAACCACTGAACCTTAGATTTTTGATGAGCAAACTCTCCTCAACAATAGTAAGATCAACATACTGCTTGTAGAGGGTACTTTCATGGCTCTGCAAGTCAAGATTACTAGGGTCCTTATCCAACTTCCATTGCACAGAATTCAACTCAGATCTGGTGGCCAAAACTCTAGTGTTATCACTAAATTTCTTTTTGTTCATAGATTTAAACACAGGTTTCAGTTGTCGGAGTTTTTGGCAAACTCTGAACATAGGAACACCCCTAATATATTCGTTCCAAATCTGAGATACAGCAGGGAGGAACTCCTCATGATCCAACCAGAAGTCAAAAAATTTGAAAGGTTTCTTAAAAGAAACCACAACATCAGACACAGTAACCACAGCAGGTGAATGGTCAGAGATGGATGAGGTAAGGAAATTTCCTGTTGAGGTAGGGTAAAGGTCAAGCCACCCCTCATTAACCAGGACCCTATCTATTTTGGTAGCAATATACTCACCACTCACTCTCTTGTTAGCCCAGGTAAATTGGCAACCACCATAGGACAGGTCCACCAAATCAGATTGAATAATATGTGAATTAAATTCCTCTTTCTCAGCAGACCAGGAAGGTGAGCTCTCAAACTTTTCATATTGGTACCTAGTGGCATTAAAGTCCCCCAAGAAAACTAGGGGGTAATTGGACTGAGACTGGGAGATTTTGACCATGTACTCAAAAAACTCTTTCCTGATAGTATGTTTATTCTCAGCATACACAAAACAAGCTTTAAAAGCAGAGTTATCACCCAAAACAAGGATCTCACAAAAAATAAATTAGGCTGAGGATTCAATCAAAGAAACTTTACAAAAAACTGGATCCCAGCACACACAAATACGCCCAGTTTTAGTGGGTTGAGAGTTAGACAAAAATGTCCAGTTATTAAAGCAAGAAGAAAAGATGGCATTTTCATTCACAGCTTTTATTTTGGTCTCCAAAATGCCCAAGACTTTAACATCTTCATTTAACAAAAATCTTTTAACTTCCTTATGTCTAGAGGAGTCATTGAAACCTCTGACATTCCATGATGCAATTTTAAAAGTCATAGGGACATGCAAAAAAATAGTAACCCGAAAACCACTAAAGAACTTGGAGATTACCTTTGTTTTTTCCTCTGGCTTTTACCCTTACCAGAGGAACTACCTTTTGCAGTTGATTTTTGTTGGATCTGCTTCTTTGCTGGAGTGTTCTGTGCTTGAGTTGATGCCACCAGATTTTCCACTTTAGTAATCAATTCAGTGTCATGGGGTAGGGCAAGCTTAGTTAGCTCTACCAGTTCCTTCTGAAATCCCTCCAGGTGTGCTATGTTGGGTGCATCAATCTCCCCATCATGGCTAGACTCAATTTTATCACTAACACTAGGCTCATTCAACCCAACTGGTCTGCTTATTAAAACTATATTGTTACTATTGTCCAGACCAACTTCCAGATTCTCTGTAATTTCTTCCAATTGCACCACTGCTTCCTCATTCTGCACTATAGGTTCAGGTACAGGTTCAGGATCCCCCACCTTCCTCTTACCCTTTGCTTTAACTGTGCTCCATCCAGGGTCTGGATTATCTTCAGTTTCTTTTTGGAGGTTAACCAAATGCTCAACTTGTGTTTTATCACATTTAGATGTGTTATGTCCAAAAGCTATGCAATGATCACACTTGGCTGGGAGACCCTGGTATTCCACTCTCACTACAATGGTGTTTCCTCCACAACTGATATTGAACATAGCTGGTAAGTTGGAGGAGGCCTCAATTTCAACACACACTCTAGCAAAGGACACTCTACTACCCTCCTCAATAAGATGGTCCATGAATAAAGGAACTCCCACAGCACTTGCAATTCGACTCAGACCATCATTATCCCAATATTCCAAAGGTACATTAAATAGCCTAACCCACACAGGAACTTTTGTAGCTTTCTCCTTAGTGAGTTTCATCATCCTGGTCCACTGTTTTAAGATTAAATTGAACCCCCCAACATACCATGGCCCACCCTCAAGGACCGATTTACAACAATCTGGATCATCAAAGATAAAGAACCAGAATCCTTCCCCATTGGCTAAAATTTATTTCAAACCCTTGTTTTTCCACATGCTAAGAGCACTATTCCTTATATAGTTGTAAGAAACACTCTTATCCAGAAAGTAACCTACTAGGCATGAATCCCATTTTCCAAGGGAGTTGAGGAGGTAACTCGACACTAACATACCCCTCATTTCGAATAGGTGGAACATACCTTAGAGGAACAGTAGAGCGAATAGATGGTGCCGCAACCTCTGCCCAAGACTTGTGCTCCTTGCCCTGTCCTCTGCCACCTCCATGGCCACGCCCACCTCTTCCCTCTCTAACTTGCGAGGAGCCTCCTCTATGAGTTTGAAACTCATCAAAGTCACTGTTGATTTCTGGGTGCAGATGATCTGAGAACTCAACTGGATGCACTTGTTGGCCTGAGTAATGGGTTTAGGTGCTCCTATCCAACCCAATAGCAGGATCCGATGGTAAGGTCACAGTATCACCACGAGCCCTAGCATCACTTCTATTATGGGTGACTACATTACTATCAGGTAGATTTTGAAACGATGGGTTAGCGTCCTCCATTGATTCCGGTCAACGAGGATTGGAAGGAATTTCAAGGGTAGACGAAACCTTACAAACACTTGATATTGTAGGATCCTTTAATCGCGCCAGTCGATCTGCAACTATCTGAAATTCAGCAGATAGATCCTTGTCTTTAACCCTCCGATCCTTCTGATTTAGGGTTCCCCCCAACCCCAAAACATTGATACACTGCTCAGATTCATAACTACGATCATTGGAGGCCTCCTTCGCAAGATCCATGTTTGCCGTACTCAGGACTTCAAACTTGTTACTAAGAAACCCTAACCCCCCACTCGGCTTAATCAACCCTTGACCTTCCACAAAAGAGTCATTCACACATACACTAATAGGAATTTCAGAACTATCTTCTTGAGAGCATCACACAGGAGCTTCTCACTCTAACCGGGCCATTTAAGCTAATGAAAGAATTATTTTCTCTAGTTTTCTTGTCTAGCTCTCAAGAAGATAGTTTCTCTCTAACTTTCTCTCTGCCTCTCCATCCTTCTCTCTTTCGTTCTAGGAACTAATTAGCTTGGGCCCCCTAATTGTTTCATTTGTTCAAGTGGCGAAGTTTATATCAAACTAATCTTACTTAGCCTTTAACAAAGAGAACTTACTGAGTAATTGTAACTTAACAACATTAGTTTAACTTACACACCTCATTTAAGGTTTTCGAAATCTCCTAAGTGTTCAATTCTCAAGTCCAAAATGTTGAATTTGAGTTCCGTTTGATTTTCTTCCTATTTCTCTTTCTTTTCACTAACTTTCTTGTCTAGCTCTCAAGAAGATAGTTTCTCCCTGACTTTCTTTGGGCTTCTCCATCATTCTCTCTTTCGTTTTAGGAACTAATTAGCTTGGGCTCCTAATTATTTCATTAGCTTAAGTGGCCAAGTTGAAATCAAACTAATCTTGCTTAACCTTTAAGAAAACGAATTTACAGGGTAACTGTAGCTTAAAGATATTAGTTCAATTTAAACATCCCATCTGAGGTTTTCAAAATCATCCAAGTGTTCAATTCTCAAGTCCAAAAGGATCAATTTGAATTCCCTGTAATTTTCTTCGTATTTCTCTTTCATTTTCTCTAACTTTGTCTTCTAGCTCTCAAGAAGAAAGTGTCTCTCTAACCTTTTTTTTTTTTTTTTTGGGTAAGTAAGTAATAAAATAAGGACAATGAAATTTACAAGTTTACAAGGGGCATACCCCAGGCATACCCAACAACAAATAAATAAACGAATACATAACCAACATAACCTACCACTGCCCCTCCTAAGATTGGGGGAGAACCACAAGAACAACAGAAAAAAACAAAGTAACCCAACTTTGCCCATATATCCTTTTGTCCCCAAGTAACCCCTACCATCAGAAATAATAGACGGAAACTTGGGATGGATATATGGCCAAAGATACAAACAAACACCAAAAAAAAAAAACTTAAAAGCCACAACAAGCAAACTCACAAAGCAACAACCCTCAAGACAAATCAACACATGGAATCCAGTAAGCATCCCACTCCTCACAGCCATGACATCCTAGCCACTCAACAAAAGCCATGACAGAGGAAAAAATCTACCCCATGAGAAATCCCGACAGAGTCACATGAAGCTAGCACGATCAGTAACCATAAGCAACAGTCCTATGAGTCGAAATGACAACGGTAGCCCCACAGCAACAAACCGATACATAGCCAAAAATAACCTGAGATCAATCATCACATCCCCCAGTCCCTTCCTTGGTAGATCACAAGCCTCAAACCCCACGGCAGTGTGCCCTTCACTCCATGTCAGGCGTGGCAATACGACCAATTAGGATGGGTCACATGAAGACAAGAAGCAACCGGAACCGGTAGCTATCCTCCCGCTCATCTCCCAGTCTCTAACTCGGCTAGTCATCGAACCACTATTCCCCATAGCAGTGACCCCTCAATCACTCTTGGCGGAGATGGCTCAAAACTAACCTCATATCGAGTCACATGAGGATCACACGATCAATCATCAAGATAAAATCGACTATACATAATCCGCTGCAAAGTGACTTTATCTAACTTTATCTGTGCTTCTCCATCCTTCTCCATTCTGTTCTAGTAATTAGCTCGGGTCCCGTTAATGTGTCATTCGCTTAACTCAACCTAATCTTACATAGCCACTGAACAATAGAATTTACTGAATATTTGTAGCTTAATGATATCAGTTTAACATAAGCACCACATTTAAGGTTTTCCAAATTCCCCAACTGTTCAATTCTCAAGCCCAAAAGGACGAATGTGAATTCCCTATAATTTTTTTCCCATTTCTCTTTCTTTTCTCTAACTATCTCTTCTATCTCTCAAGAAAAAAAGTTTCTCTCTCACTTTCTTTGCGCTTCTCCGTCCTTCCCTCTTTTGTTCTAGGAACTAATTAGCTTGGGCCCCTAATTGTTCCATTAGTTTAAGTGGCCAAGTTTAACTCAAACAAATCTTGCTTAGCCTCTAAGAAAGAGAAGTTATCGAGTAATTCTAGCTGAACGATATTAATTTAACTTAAACACCTCATTTATCATTTTCGAAATCACCAAAGTGTTCAATTCTCAAATCGAAAACGATTTTTTTTTTCCTATTTCTCTTTTTCTTTTCTCTAACTATCTCTTGTGACTCTAAAGAAAAAAATTTCTCTCTGACTTTCTCTATTCTTCTCCATCCTTCTCTCTTTAGTTCTAGGAACTAATTAGCTTGGGCCCCTAATTGTTCTATTAGTTTAAGTGGCCAAGTTTAACTCAAACTAATCTTGCTTAGCCTCTGAGAAAGAGAATTTACTGAGTAACTGTAGCTGAACGATATTAGTTTAACTTAAACACCTCATTTATGATTTTCGAAATCACCTAAGTGTTCAATTCTCAACTCCAAAAGGATGAATGTGAATTCCCTTTGATTTCTTCCTACTTCTCTTTCTTTTCTCTAACTTTCTTGTCATCTAGCTCTCAAGATAAAAGTCTCCCTCTAACTTTCTCTGTGCTTTCTCCATCCTTCTCTCTTTCGTTCAAGTAACTAATTAGCTTGGGACCCTAATTGTTCCATTAGCTTAAGTGGCCAAGTTTAAGCAAACTAATCCCTCTTAGCCTCAAAGATAGAGAATTTACTAAGTAATTATCGATATTAGTTTGACTTAAGCACGTCATTTAAGATTTTCCAAATCACCTAAGTGTTCAATTCTCAAATCCAAAAGGATGAATTTGAATTCCCATTGATTTTCTTCATCTTTTTGTTTCTTTTCTTTAACTGTCTCTTCTACCTCTTAAGAAAAAGGTTTCTCTCTAACTTCTCGGCGCTTCTCCATCCTTGTCTCTTTTTTGTTCGAGAAACTAATTAGCCTCGGCCCCCTAATTGTTTCATTTGTTCAAGTGGCGAAGTTTAAATCAAACTAATCTTGGTTAGCCTCTAACAAAGAGAATTTACTGAGTAATTGTCACTTAATTTATTAACCCAAAAATTGTAACTTAACAACCGTTAGTTTAACTTGAACACTCATTTGAGGTTTTCAAAATCTCCTAAGTGTTCAATTCTCATGTCCAAAAGGTTGAATTTGAATTCCGCTTGATTTTCTACTATTTCTCTTTGTTTCATTAGCTTAAGTGGCCAGGTTGAAATCAAACTAATCTTGCTTAGCCTCTAAGAAAACGAATTTACGGGGTAACTGTAGCTTAAAGATATTAGTTCAATTTAAACATCCCATCTGAGGTTTTCAAAATCACCCAAGTGTTCAATTCTCAAGTCCAAAAGGATCAGTTTGAATTCCCTGTAATTTTCTTCGTATTTCTCTTTCATTTTCTCTAACTTTGTCTTCTAGTTCTCAAGAAGAAAGTGTCTCTCTAACTTTATCTATGCTTCTCCATGCTTCTCCATTCTGTTCTAATAACTAATTAGCTTGGGTCCCGTAAATGTGTCATTCGCTTAACTGGCCAAGTTTAACTCAACCTAATCTTGCATAGGCACTGAACAATAGAATTTACTGAATATTTGTAGCTTAACGATATCAGTTTAACATAAGCACCACATTTATGGTTTCTTAAATCATTTAAGTGTTAAATTTTCAAGCCTAGAAGGATGAATTTGAATTCCCTTTGACTTTCTTTCAATTCCTCTTTCTTTTCTCTTATACTTTCTTTTCTGGCTCTCAAAGCAGAAAGTTTCTATCTTTCTCTATGCCTCTTCATCCTTCTCTCTTTTGTTCCGGGAACAAATTAGCTTGCGCCCCTAATTGTTTCATTTTCTCAAGTGGCCAAGTTTAACTTAAACTAATCTTCCTTAGCCTCTCAGCAAGAGAATTTACTGAGTCGTTGTCGCATAACGATCTTAGTTTAACATTAAACACCACATTTAAGTTTTCCGAAATCACTTAAGCGTTTAATTCTCAAGTCTAAAACGATGAATTTGAATTCCTTTTAATTTTTTCCTATTTCTCTTTCTTTTCTTTTAACTTTCTCGTCTAGCTCTCAAGAAGATAGTTTCTCTCCAACTTTCTCTATGCTTCTCCATCCTTCTATCTTTTGTTCTATGAAACTAATTCGCTTGGGACCCTAACTGTTCCATTAGCTTAAGTAGCCAAGTTTAACTCCAACAAATCTTGCTTAGCATCTAAGAAAGAGAATTTACTGAGTAATTTCCACTTAATGATATTAGTTAAACATAAGCACCGCATTTAAGGTTTTCCAAATTCCCCAACTGTTCAATTCTCAAGCCCAAAAGGACGACTGTGAATTCCCTAGGATTTTTTTTCCCGTTTCTCTTTTTTTTTCTCTAACTATCTCTTCTATCTCTCAAGAAAAAAGTTTCTCTCTAACTTTCTCTGTGCTTCTCCGTCCTTCTCTCTTTTGTTCTAGGAACTAATTAGCTTGGGCGACGGAAAGGGAAGAAAGTAGAGCCTCTCTCTCTAGAATCTAGAGAGAGAAAGCTCCCCGCGCGCGTGATTATGGAGTATGGTTCTGATTATCTCCCTCACCCTTGAGGAAGAATGTGTTCTGGGTAACCA